GAATTGCTGGCTTATGTGTAATTTTGACAGGTAGTTCTGTGGCTAGAAAAAAATTTAATCTCGGGCCTTAAAACATTGTTAATTAAAAAACTTTTGATTACATATTTGAATAAAAACACTTTAGATATAAATTATCATTTAAAATATTACTGCCACTTAAAATACAATTTTCCATGTTCTGCTTTGTTATCATACATGAAAATAATAAATACTATTGTTTGTTTAAAACAGAAGTCTTATAATCTATTTTTTAAAATTTAAATATTAAATGTAATTGTCTACAAAAATAAAATCTCTTGTAAAAATTTAAAGAGTCTATGTATTTTCTCCATTTTTTTGAAATACTGCAGATGATTTTTTAAAGATAAAACTATTAAGAAGTTTATCATAGTTACTACTGTGTGTCCCCAAAGATAAGACCTATCTGAAAAATAAGTGTCAGTTGTAATTAATAGCTGGTCATTACCATGGTGATGGCCAGTGTCATACAGAAGATTAAGCTTCACTATTCTCTTGTTGGTGACTACTCTATAGTGGCAGGGAGGGGAAGGCTAGGCTGACTGGGGATGGCTTTTCTGATCACTAGCTAGGTCTTGATTTCAGGGAATCACAATAGGAGGAGTTATGTCTATTAAATGATATAACATCCACATGAGAAAATGTGAGTGTATGTAATTTTATTGTGCTGTAACATTTATACGTTTGCATATCATTTTATGATCCTGTGCTCTCTTTCATTGAATGATTTTGGTTCATGTATAAGAATTGTATATATTCATAGGGCAAAGTGTGATAACTTGATACAAGTATAAAATGTGTGACAAATCAGGGTAATTAGAACTTCTCTTAGACGTTTTTTATTGTCTTATATTGAGAAACTTTGAAGTATTATCTTCTAGTTTTTGGTAAAATATATAATAATTACTTGTGAACCAGAGTTGTTCTATTGGGCTATAGAACTTACTCTTTTTATGTTACTGTAGTTTGGTAATCATCATCAAACCTCAATGTCTTGTTGCTTCTCTTTCCTAATCTCTAATGACCACTCTTCGATTGTCCTCTTTAATGAAACCCACTTTTTTTTTAGCTTTTTTATGTGAGTAAATGTGGTACAGTGTGTGTATTTCACTTTCTGTGCTTGGCATATTTCACTTAACATAATGTCCTCCAGTTTCATCCATGTTGTCATAAGTGACAATATTTCAGTCTTTTATACAGATAAATAATATTCCATTTTGTATATGCATTTTATTTATTTATTTATTTTACCCATTCCTCTGTTGGTGAACACTGGATTGATTCCATGTACTGGTTGTTTTGAAGATTACTACAGAAAACTTGAGAGTGCAGGTATCTCTTTGATTTCCTGATTCATTTCCCTTGGATAGCGTGGTTAAATGGTAGTCCCTGTTTAGTTTTTTGAGGAACTTCTGTACTGTTTTAAATAAAAGCTGTAATTCTGAGGAACTTCCACACAGTTTTCCATGATAGCTATACTAATTCACATTCCTACAGGAGTTAGAAGACTTTTCTTTCTCTTCATCCTTGCCAGTATTTCATTTTTATCTTTTTGACTGCAGATATTCTAAATGGAATAAGATGCTGTTGAGAATCTTTCATATACTTGTTAGCCATTTATATATATTCTGGAATATACAAATGACTTTTCATGTTATTTGATCATTTTAAAATTTAACTGTTTTTGTCAATATTTTGTTGTTGAGCTTTTTGGGTTCCTTGTTTATTATTTTTTTCCTTTGTCTTTTTGAGACAAGGTCAGTGTGCAGTTCCAGCTGGCCTTGGGCTCACTTTGTAGTCTGGGCTTGTCCTGAACTTGCAACAATCCTCCTGCCTCAGCTTCCAAGTGCTGAGATTACAGTAGTGTATCACCATATCTAGCTTTCCTTGTATATTATGTATATCACTGTCTTGTTTGAAAGCTTCTCCCATTCTATGGGTTTTCCATTCTCTGTATTATTTTCTTTGCTGTACAGAAATTTCTTAGTTTGATATGAGCTCATTGTTTTATTTTTGCCTAGGCTTTTGGAATCTTATGCAAAAAATCACTTTCTAATCATATAAAAACATTTATTTCTTATTTTAGATGGTAAAGAAAACATTTTAGAAATGACTTTAAGAGGTTTATAGTTAGACCTCATGTCTTAATTTGGCTGAGACTGAAAGGTTTTGTAGGGAACAGAGCTTTCATCCATAAAACCAGAAAATCCCCCAAATCCCAGAACAACCAAGATGAGCTAGTAACCCTAAAATGATGTCCTCATCCGTTAGGAGGTTACTATCCTGACCATCCGTATTCATGCCCCTCCACTCCACAAGAGTAGTTCTTAGCTTCATGACAGCAGCATGTTTATTTCAGGCATAAGAAAGGAGGGAGAACCAATGGTCTAGGGGCTAACAGCCTCGGTGCTAGGTATCTCCAAGGAAGATTCTAGAAGCTGCTAATGTGGTGTTTCCTGTTATATCAGTTTGGTAGAATTAAGTCATGTGGATACCTATCTTCAAGAGAGCTGAGAAATACAATATTTTCTTTTTAATAAACTGTGTTCAGCTGTGGAAATGAAAAAATGGATAGTGGGATAAAACTTCCAGCCTCTGAACACGTGCCTGTAAACACAGTGACTAGCAGAATGAATATGAACATTGGAAGGGCAAATATAGGAAAAAATCACTTTCACAGTAATCCTGCCTTATCCACGGATGTGCTTTCTGCAGTTTTAACTACAGTCTGGAAACATTAAGTGAAAAATTTTTGAAATAGTTCATGTTTTAAATTGAATACCATTCCAAGCAGTGTGCTGAAATTTCACATCATTCTGTGATTTTTCCTGGTGTCGATTGCAGCTACGCTATACACTAAAACTGTAGAAGGCGTCTCAGTTACCAGATTGGCTCTTGAGGAACCGCAGGACTGGTTCTCCAATAACCATCATTTCACTTCTCAACGGCCCCAGAATGCCAGGGTAGGGTGCTGGCGATTAAAACATGCCAGAGAAAACCCACTTAGTATTTCCTTTAGGTAAAGATGTGAAAGTTCTCAACCTGATAATGAAACAAGAAATTACATGTGGACATAACTAAGAACTGCAGGACTATGAAATAGTCTGAGACCACGTGTGCAAAAAATTTTACTGCAATATATGTTGTTTTATTTTGTTATTAGTTATTACTGTTCATCATTCACTGTGCTTAATTATAAGTTAATTCTTTTGTAGTTAACTCTACATTTGCAAGATTCAATATCATGGAAGATGTTAGACATTCAAGGATCTAAAAATATATCCCTTGTGGACAAAGGATAGGGTAATATATTTTCAAATAAAATTTTAAACAATGAGAAGCTACTAAACAATAAGAGGCAGATTAAATGCTCAGTAATTATTTGTTGATTGCTACCGTAAGTCTTACAGAAGAAAAATAATTTTGGGTTTCACTTTTTGCCTGCGATACCTAGATTTATTTTTTTTAGAATATTCTATCCCAAAATGATTGGAATTTTAATGAAAAAACAAGTTTAGGCATTCATGTACCAAAATCACACAAAATATGCCATTACTATTGAGAAAGGAGGCATGGTTAGATCAAATTCAGCAAGTCCATTTGATTCAAGATTTACCTATTAAAAGTTATACTTTCAAATAATAATTACATTTTTCAAAATTAGGTGAAACATTTAACAGGCAAATAAGATGTGATCGTACCTAAATTTGTATGTGTTTATGTTCATATTGGTATTTGTAACCAATTGACATGAATGGTGTTGAGTCTTTAATTTTTCTTTGTTTTTATACTATTCTGAAATTTAAACAATTAAAAGTTACCTTTAAAAAACAAAACAGAACAGTACAAAAAGACAAGAGAGCTGTGTTCAAATGAAGGCTGGAAACCTCATCCTCTGCCCTAAAAAATGAGCCTCTCTGAAGACGCTGCCCTGAGATGCTCACTGTGCAAATTCACCTCATGCTGATGCTCTCTCCTCCTGCCCATTTTCCCTGTGGCCGAGTCAGCTGCAGGAGGCTGAGCACAGTTTGCAGCCTGGAGAAGAGTTGGGGCACATTCCAAAGCTGCAGAGGTCACGCACCCTGTGGCCCTTGACAAACCTCTCTTACTTCCTGCTTTTATTCTGCTGCTTCTTCCTTGTCATTCTTGTCCAAAGTTAGGATGAACATGGCTTGCTCATCACAGTACAATGAAAGAATTTTCCACCCAGGCCAGTTGGGATATGCTATTCTTACTCCTCTTCAAACAGGCCTAGCTGGGAAGGCGTGGAGAAAGCTGCGTGCAGTCTGCAGGGTGGCAGCCTAATAAACGCGAACCCTGACTAGCCCCAGTGGTGGTGGTGGCGCTGAGAAGCTGGTCTGGCTTTGGACTGCCTCAAGGCAGTAGTGATCCCCTGCTTGTCCTATCTGTCAGTCTATTTGATCTCGAAATGAATTGCTTTTGATAACAGCTATATAAATGCAGAACTGATCCGCTGGGCCTTCTTAAATGAGACTCTTCGCTTTCATCTCCTAGTCATTTCAAAAAGCAGATAGACTTGTTAGAGGTTTTAATGCAATGATTTATGTTTTATCTCGTCTGGTTTGAGGCAGCATTTATTTAGCCCTAAACTCTTTCCAAACTTCTATGTGAAAAAGAAATGCTTGAACACACAATATTTGGGACTTTATTTTTTTTTTCAAGAATCTATTTAATAATATATGTTTTCCTTTTCTATTTTATGATAAGCAATAAATTTTATTTTAAGGAAAGAACAAGAAAGGAGAAAATCACTATGTGAAACATTTTTATCACATGCTTAACAATATAAATTTTAAAATAATATAAAACTAATAACCAGCCTTCCATTTAATGATTACCAGGAAAAAGAATTTAATTAAAACAAAGGGAAACAAAATTTCTTATAGCTTGTCACAGGCTTATGAAATCTATAAAGAACATTCTCTGGAAGTTTTAGTTATTTCTATCTTAACCGGTTTTAATTTTCTTCCCCTTTTTCTCCTAGGAATGAAGAAAACTTCGTAGTGATGTGAACTGAACCAAGGGTCTCACGCATGCTAGGTAAGCATTGTATCACTGCGCTATACAAGCCCAGGACAAAAGACTCCTATTAAAGAGAATGTATTATAATTCATCATATTGAGGATTTGGGTGAAACTTTGATTATTTATCTCTTTGTAGGTAAATAGATTATTTTCTTTAAGAGGACCCACTTAAAGGGGAAATACATTGTGGCCAGAGAAGGAGCAAAACTGGATTTCCTTTTAATTGGAGAAGTGCTTTCATGAACTTGTTAAAAGAAACACAATGCAAATTTTATGTGTGCATGTATAAATCAAGTGATCTTGTTTAATTAGAACAAGTTAATAATTTAAATTATGACTTTCAAATAAAACAAATAATTTGCCCAAATGAATTTCTTCATGGATTATGTTTTGCACAAATACAGTTATTCTCTTATTAGAAATATCATATCAATCTACTCCCATGAAAGACATAGCCTGTGATTGATATATAATAAAGAAAAGAAAAAGAAACTACACATTGTTAAATATTTAATTTCTTTGTACCTGGGAAATGAAATTTAGTTTTTGAGTTGTGAGAGACCTCGTAATTCTTAAGTAGCAAAGCTAGCTACAGGAGGCTTGATGGATTTTCTTCTGTATGGTAGAAAAACATCTGCATCTTTCATAAGAGTTTTATTTGAATTTCTTTTTGAGTCACAAAAAAGATAAAAGGAGCTTTTAAAATGCTGAACATTTAGTTAAATCAGGCTACACTTTAGTCTCAGTATTGTACACAACAGGCTACAGCCGTTGGTGATAATTAGATGGCCCCATGAAAATTTTTCTTGTTACTCTTTCTAGTTGTATATATAAATACTGAAAAATTTAAGTTTCTTGAAACAGAATGTGCAAATTAAATGAGAACTGACAAACATAGTTTCCTTTAAAATGTTTTTTATCAATAATTACCAAAAAAACCAAAAACAGTCCTGGGTGGTGAAACACATCTGTGATCCTAGCACTGTGACAGGCAGTTGCAGCAAGTTCAAGCCCAGCCTGGGCAACTTAGTGATTTTATGAGAGCGTGAGTCAAAATTAAAAAAAAAAAAAAAAAGGAGTGAGGTTCAGCACCAAGACTCTGGGCTCAACCCTTGTTATTAGAAAAAAATTGTAAAAGTATCAAATACAGTTTTAATTGATGAAAAGAATTCTGCAGTAAGAAAATTATGTTAAGAAATAGCTTGAAACCTATTTTTCAAATGAGTAAGCAGAGTTAACTAAAACCTGTGTATCTTGTAAGCAAAATCAAAATAACTATGCTGCCTGATAATCACTTTGCTGATCTTTTAGTAGAACACAAAATGGTTTGCACTTTCTTCTGAGTAGTTAAGTAAACATAACTATATACATAGCCTAAGGAAATTATGTTCTTAAAATGTACAGTATCTCTTTGTATCCCACACAGAGAATCACAGCAGCAATAATTTTAAAAGCTTCATAAACTGCAGCATCAAAACTGTTCTACTGTGAAAATCAAACCCATTTAACAGACAAGGTGCCTACTATTAATCCTATGCTACATAATATGAACTATTTTATTGCTGTAATTATTGACAGCACTGGTTTCTTTGCTCTTGAAAATACTGAAGCTCAGAAATGTAAAGCAATTTGTCAAATATTATAAGACATATTAGAATTAGTTCAGAGTTTTGAATAAACTTGGGTCTTTTGACTTTAAGACCATCAATCTCCAAGACACCAAGCTTTAGTTAGAAGGAACCCAAAAAAAATCTTAGGAAATGCTCTTCTGAAGTGGACGGCGTAACACTGATCCGTGTGCTCCAGCAAAAAAAGCCAGGCCAGGGGTGTTCCTGTAGCTTACTCACAGTGGTATCTGTAAATAATGGGATATTATTTGGCTTCAAAAACAAAGTATAAATTTGCCTTTGTAGGAAAATGGTTACACCTAGAAAAACAATGTTAAATGAGTCAGACACACAAAACTGATACTGTGTGGTTGCTCTCATTTGGGGAAGGGAAAGTGCAGACAAAGAGCAAAATAGAAGACTGATAAAAGGAATCTTTTGTAAACTGGACAGGATTTAAAAGTCTGAGAGTGAAGAAAGGAGAGGAGAAGGGAACATAAAAGATCTAAAATACTCACAATGAATGCGATCACTGTATGTTAAAAGATGAATTACTAACAATAATGATGAAAACAAAGGGGATCTAGAGACAGAGGTAGGGAGGAAGATGAGGAATGGAACTGGAATAAAGTGAATCAAGATATGTCAAGTACATGTACTTAAGTCCATAAGATGAATGTAAACTTCAGGCACTGAAACCAGGCATTAATACAATAAAATAAAATACATTTCAAACTATGGAATGCGAACGATACAATGTAATGAAACAGCCAGCTTCCACTCTCTGGTTGGTTTTAACTGATGTCAATATTTTTTGTAGCTGCTTCCAAACTTACACATAATTAAAGAGTATTAATAGAGCTTTTCAAAAAAAAAAAAAAAAAACTACAGTACTTGGACCTTTTGTTCTGACCATTTCAATTTGTGTGCTCAACTTCAGCCTGATCCATATTTATTTCTGGAGGAAAGTGCCAAGAACTTTATTATCCAACATGATCTCCATCTGGAATAAGATCATATCTCAACTAAAATGTATTTTGATTTTTCTTTAAACTACTAATTTCTTCAGTCTATAGTATGTTCCATGCATATTAGTCATTTTTGTAGATACAGATTGATTCTGTATTTTTGTTGTAGATATCTAACTATATTGGTCTTTCATTTGAACATAGAGTTTATAGGTGTCTTGATTTGTCTTCATAGACTCACAGTGTGTGAACTCATAGAATTTTAAGAATTTAAGAATGCCTCCCCCTCTGATGTGCAGTTCAAAGAACAAAATTTAAAATCATTAAGTCACTCAATTTCTCAAAGAAGAAAGAAGAAAATGTATAATCTCCAGGTTAGTAAGCTTTCTATTTACCCACTCATATGGCCTTAGTGGTGGCTTTCAAAAATCATTAGAATGCTCCTAAAATTTTCTATGGATTTCATCCATAAAGTAGCTTTTCTCTATTGTCCTCTCTTTCAGTTTGTCTTTTGCATATGTTGAGTTTAACATCAAGTGCCATAAATCAACCTCCAAGTTAGAAGAGAAGATTTTAGAGTCAGATATTGGATTTTAATCTTCATCACTTACTAGCTCTTCAATCTCGAGTAAGTTGGGTTAGCTTCTCTTTTTTCTCTCCACTGTTTACTTACTTTTAATTAACAAGTAAAAAAGGATATATTTATAGTGTCCAGTTGTGCAATGATTAAATTAAACTGGTTAACATATAAATTGCTTCATATAATTATTATTCTTTTCACAATGAGAATACTGAAGAGGTACTCTCTTAGTAATGTTTACATATACAGTATGAAGTATGGTGAAAATATATGATGAATGTTTATATTTTTCTAAACTTTCTGGGAAGAGGAATTAGGGGTGAAGGCAATGGAAGGAAGGAAAAAGTAAAAACTGAGAAAAGAATGGTAAAACGGATGCAAAGCTTTTGTAAATAGAGGAGAAAAGGGATTGAAAGGAGGGGAGGAAAACAGGAAAAAAGAGGAATCAATATATATCGTGTACCGGTACAAATTCCCTATGATGAATGTGACCGTTATATATCTATTTATATATCACTAAATTGCACCAATAAACTTAATTTAAAAATAAGATAAAATTTTGACTTATTAAAACATTTCTTACAGGGGCTGAGGATTTAGCTCAGCGGCATAAGTCTCTGCCTTGCAAGTGCGTGGTTATGAGTTCGATCCGCGGTTACGATTAAAAAAAAATTCTTACAGTAAAAGCCACATTCTCAATAATTCCCCTATCAAAATACTTACTCTAACATTGATTATACTTATCCCATCATTCTTGCCGTTTTCTCAAGCAATTCTGGAAGTCTTCTGCTGTGTCTTTAGTTGTGTGGTTATGGATGTCTCCATGTTTTGAATCAATTTATGACCTTGCATGGTCATTGTGACTTGACAAAGAGCCAGAAGACACAGAGTGCCATGTCCAGTGAATAAGGTGAATCAGGACATACCATAATCATTTCTTAAGATCCTATTTTCTGATGCATGGTACCTGGAAGAAGGTTTAACCAGTTTTGTTTGTACTTCAACAAGATCCTGTGTACTTCTTATATTCTCTATTTTTAATCTACTCCTATTCACTCTATCTTGGTATTTTGAACAACGCTGTACCAAACACAAAGTGTGACTATCTCTTCTACGTACTGATCTCACTTCCTTTGGGTATATCCCCGAGTTGGGATTATGAGATCATACCTTTTCTATGCCTTATATTTCTCTTATGTTAAATGGATGTAACAACTGCAACTGATGAAGTAAAATGTTACGAGTTAGAATTAGTCTATGTAATAGAATACATGTTCTGTACCCAAAGCAGTATAATATGCAACAAATTACTCATCATCGTTAAAACCAAAGGTATTATCAGAATGTAACTCATGCTGTCCTTTCACTACTTTTAAACATTCTGAGATGGAGAACACATTTCCTTTGCCCTTACATAGGTAAATAGATAGATGAAAGAATAATCAGGAAATGTTCAACCAAGTCAGAGTACCAACAGATGAGCAACTATTTCAACACAGAAATGGCAAGTACATAAGATACCAAACAGGTATCATAAAGGTGAAGACTAGAATACCTAAATCAAAGATTCAACAATGGGGTCTCATAACAGAGTACGTCAAACAAATAAAGACTGCAAACTCAAGAACAGATCATTAGAAATCATCCTATCACAGAAGCCAAAATTTTAGAAAATCAGAAAGAGTAGCAGTTGCTTGTGGGTCTTATAGGAACCGTTTCAGTTACTTTTCTTATAAAATATCCAATTCCCAAAGTTAAAGGAAGAAAGCTTTATTTCCACCCAAAGTTGTTGAGGTGTCAATTTGTAGTTGGCTGGCTCCAAGACAGGGAGGCACGGCAGAGGGCGTCCTAGAGAAGAAACAGCTCATGGCAGGCAGAAGCAGCAGGCAGTGGAGCAGGAAGCAGCAGCGGAGGCAGTTTGCTTTTCCTTTCCAGCCATCACCCTCTGGGTGGCACCACCCAAACCCACAGTGGGCCTCCCCACCATCCACCCCAGAACTAGGCCAAAGCAGGAAGGCACTAATTTAGCAGTTATATATCCTTAACCCCAGCAACACACATTTAATCCCAGAATCACATATCCTACTCTGAAAAGCCCCATCTAGGAACATGCCAGGCTCTGCAGAGACATCTAGAACCACACCGTAACAAAAACCATCAAACAATTTAATGTACACATTATGAGAATTCTAAAAGAGAAAGGACAGCTTACATATTTAAAAACAACTTCTGAAACCTGTAGAATGAAAACAGATCTAAGAACTCCAAGATCACCAAATAAAATGAATCTCTTTGGACTCCTATGAAAATGAATTACAATTAAATCACTAAAAGATAAAAACAAAGAGTTCTGGAAAAAATGACAGAGAGAATTGCTATAAGATTATAAGTGGATTGTTTTAGTTATGCAGCAGAAAGCTTGCAGTGCAGAAGAGAATGAGTTGATGCATTGCAGGTACTGGAAGCGGCAAGCAGGAATAGTGTACCCTGTAGTATAAAGTGGTTCGTTACAAGTGATGGGAAGACAAAGAGTTTATCAGACAAAGGCTGAAGACGTTTATTAACACTAGCCTTGCCTTACAAATGACGTTAAAGGAAGTTTGCAAGGTGAATGCTAAACAAGGGGGTAGTATTGCAAACTAGGAAATCATTAGTAAAGGTATGTACAATGAAATAAAATAAAATCCTGAACCAGGGATTATAGCTCAGTGGTACAAGCACCTGCTTGGTAAGTGCAAGGTCTTGAGTTCAATTCCTGACACCAAAAGTATATATATAAATAAAATCCTGTATTACTAGAAAGTTGTTTTTAACTTCACTATGAAAGAGATAAAAATACTAAAATTGTAATTAAATGATTTTAGTGAACATATCTAAATTTCAACATCTAAATCATAATATGGAGAGGAAGAGGTAAAGTGCAAACTTAGTGAATGTAGGTAAATTAAACTGGAATTAGCTTAAAATAGATTGACTTTACTATGACAAGCCACAAAGAAATACCACTCAAGTTACACAAAAGAAAAAGAGAAGGAATTCAGAATCTATGCAAACAAAACAGGAAAGAAATGTAAAAGATGACATAAAAAATGCAAATAACCCAGTAAACTGACTTATATAGTCACGTTAATTTAGTGAATAATCCTTGTTTCACTGTAAACATATGCAAGGATAACGAGAGGAATTATAGAAATCAAATATCAACTCTATCAATCTTTCTTTACAGATATAAGGAGAAATCCTAACTGTACTGACTCAGTGTATTAGAGCAGTTTAAAGTTCTTAATATTGTACTCTGGGGTCGGACTCACACATGAATTCCGCTTTAAAGTGATCCCAGTGAGAAACAGGCGGTATAAAAACAGATGCCTGCAGGTAGCTAAGATTAGAAGTGTGTTCGACTATGTCATTAACGAGCGCAATATCAATATATTGAGAAACAGGTTTCAGGTCTTTTCGCATTTGGAGAAATACGTGGACAGAAAAACACAGAGAAAGACAAACATCGTTAGAGGTTCCATCTTTTACTTTGAATATTACTCTTTGTAAGTCTGAGATTTTCAGCTTATTAACTTTGGGATTTTGATAAGGCATTTCAATTTAGTTGTCTTCTGTTGTACAATGAGTCCAGTAGTAGCACTATTTGATAGAACTATGAGGAGTAAATGAACCAATCAAAATACTGCATGTAGAAGAATGCTTGGCCCATAACAAACATTTAAATGGAATTTAATATTAACTATTAACTCTAACTATATTATTTCTTTTTTCAAACCAACATTCTAACATGCTTATTATTCTTCCGATTTGTAATAAATATTTGCATTATTATTACTTATCTAAAAGTTAATAGTTGATGTTTTATTTGCCATTTATACATTCCCATCAACAATCCAGGCATGAAATTTCCAATAGAGCCAGAAAATATCTTCATCATAGTAATCAATCAACTATATTATATTTCCACATTATTTTGGAATCAAGTTTTCTGAAATTCTGTGTTGCCTTCTCCCAATTAAAATGTGTTTGTATCATTATCCTGGACTAACGTGGACTTTTTTTAAAGTCTCAATTCGCTTCTTGTTCCCTTTTCTTAGTTCGGTTTTTGTACCTGGGATCAAACTCATGACCTCGTGCTTGACATCAGGCACTTCTGCCACTGTGCTAAATCCCCGGCCCTTATTATCCTGGACCGATGATGATACCTTTTTTCTTTCCCTTGCCCTTGATCTTTCTTCATGTACCCAATTTCCTCCACTTCACTGGTTCAATTTTTTGGGGGAAAACATTCTTTTTTAAACTTTTTTGTACTGGGAATCAAACTCATGACCTCATGCTTGTCAGACAGACACTGTACTACTGATCGATACCCCTGGCAAAGCATTCTTTAATAATCTCCTGACAGTATACATGGAGCAATAAATTTCTGAAATTATATATTTCTGAAAATATATTTATTCTATATTCACAGTGTATAATTTTAGTGAGCATAAAGTAGATTAGATTTCATTTTTTCTCAGGACTTTATTAATTTGTTTTTGGGAAACAAAGGAAAATGCAATAAAAACATTGACACAATTCCATATCAAGATAATAGGAAATTAGCGATGGTTAATATATTGTATATCATTTTCTTCAAAATTGTTGGTCACATTATGAAATATGGGCATGAAAAACTGATCAGACAACATAAGAACAAACTATTCTTTTCAATGAACAAAAAGACATTAGTAATATATTTTCCAGCTCTTCGTTTCTCTTTTCCCCATCTCACTTGTTCTTTCCCGTTGAGCAGTATCTTTCTCTTTTACAATATCTATTGTAGATTATGGATCTTATTTATTCTTTCAGTTTTTTACACTAGGAAGACAATACAGTGTCTACACATTTGAGTCTAATTTATTTGAGTTATGACTATGGTCTCAAGTTGCATCTATTTACCTATAAAAGCTTTGAATTCATCCTTCTTTATAACCGAGTAGTACTTCATTGCATAAAAAAAAAAAAAAAACATCTTTTTTAACCCTTCTATGGTTGATGGTCACTGG